AACGAATATCTGTCGGGGGCAGGGGTGGGAACCACTTTTTTATTGGGGAGTAAAACAAATTGATTACCTATGCAAAGGCTAAAAAGAAAATTGTCAAACCACTTTCTTCAAAGCACGTGGCTAACACCCTGCAGCTCATCAATAGAAAAGCGGAAATCTTGCAAGACATAAAGAGGAAGAGGTAAATGCTTAGTAATAAGTTTAACAAATTATGTGCAAAGCCTCTACGCTTCAAGCTACAAAATGTTGCTGTAAGAAATTGAAGATCTAAATAAATGAAGATATATACAACCCCTAAAATAAAAATAAATAAGACTACACTAAGATTTCCATTCCTCATACATCAGAGTGGCAAAGATTTACAAGTATGTCAACACATTATATTGGCAAAACTGTGAGGAAACAGGCTCTCTCTGATATTGGTAATCAGAATGAAAATTGGTACAACCTTTATGGAAGGGAAGTTGGCAATATCCAACAAAACTACAAATGTGTTTACCTTTTGAACTATAAATCTAAGCCAAGATGATTCTTTACAGCACTGCTTGTAATAGCCAATACTACAGCCTAGATGCCCACACCTAAGACTGTGGATTAATAAACTATGGTACGTCCACATAGCAGAGTACCATGAGGCTGTACAAAAGAATCAAAGATTTCCATACAAAGAGCTGGAAGGATTTCCAGAAGGATTATTAAGTTTAAGAAAAAAAGGTGAAGTTTAAAAGAGGCCAAGGGAAAGGGGGTAATAAAATACATATGTATTAGATCATTTGTGTAAAGTAACACGGGAAGGAACCAGGAACTGTTGGCATTGGTCACCTCCAGAGAATGGGATGAAAAGGATAGGGAAGGGCGTGGGCCTTCCTGAGTTTAGTTCTGACTATTAAAACCATATTAATGTTTCATATGCTTAAAATCATTAGAAATGGGAAAAAAACTACCAATAAAATACAAACAACAACAAATCAACTTCATTATAATGTGATTTCAAATGAATACCACGACCACACTGAAGGATGAGGAAAAAGGACACGCCCAAATACCATGTGAACACAGTACTTTAACTGTCCTTAGGCTGGCAACAGAAAGAAGAGTAAACAGATACTGAACTCTAGCTGGAAGGTTAGTTTTTCTCAGTGGTATGAGTTAGCACTTTGGAGACTACTCTCTATACATTAGCATTGAGGAAATAAGTCAATATATTGTGCATCTTGGGAAACGTATTTCTCAAATTCTGAGAAGGAAATTATAAATAAGGAGATTGGGAAAGTTTAGCGTGAACTCTGAAGTCATGTATTGGAGGTATCAGGTTACATGATATTTAAAATAGATAAATAGGGAGGTAGATAGATGGCTGAATAGATAGATGATACATAGGTATTGATATAAATATTTATTTTGTTCTGTCTTCTGCTGAGAGCCTAGGAACAGTGATACCAAGTGGTAACAAGCAAGCCTTCCAGCAAGATCTTGGTTTCTAAACACTAAAAAAAAAAAAGAAAAAGAAAGAGGGGGGGAAGGAAAAAGAGGAGAGGAGCGGAAGGGAGGGGAGGATAGAGGGGAGAAGAGAAAACAGGGCTTCTTAGAGAAATGGTTGGTTTCAGGTCTGAAGGTAGAAAACTTCAACACAGCCTGTCACATCCTGCTGTGCCTGGAGGCCTGGAGGTAAGAATGTGTGCTAAGAACGATGAAAACCTATCAAAGGACATGAGGCCATCTTGTCTGTTCCACTAGCCAAATCTGGGACAATTTAAGCATCAAAACAAATAGAGACAAAATACTGATACAAACAAACAAAGGGAAAAAGAAAAACATCTCCTTCTTACGGTGGAATACCAACTAACACGGGTACACGGAATCATGAAATCAGAAAGCCACCATTTGGCAACCACCATGATAAACTCTGGTTCAGGACATGAGCAGTGAATTAATAACCGTGTGTCACTCACTGTAGCGATGGTCCAGATACACTGCCTAACCTAATGAGAGAGAAGATAACTCATAGAACAGCCACCAGAACAAGAAGGCTCTTCCATTGGGAAAACCCAAACTGGAAGACAGCTGAGGGCTGAGGGCTGAGGGCTGATCAGGGAAGAGATTTATTTGTTCCCTGTCCTCTTTGGTTTCCCTTGAGCCCTGTCACTGTCAGGCACATTGGATAAGATGCCCAGCACGGGTCTGATGGAGCTGCGGGAGGGGATATACCCACGAGCTACGAGACTAGTAGAATTGTTTTGCTGTTTTCAAGGACAGCCTAGGTAGCAAGCTGGCACAGAGCAAGTCAGGGTTCTTCTGAAAGCCAGTGGGTCTGTTGAGCTGAAGCAGTCCCCAGATGATTCTCCTCCTTGGAAATTGTTGGAGGGATTCATTAGCATCAACAACCCAGCCTCTTCAAATGCATGCGATTCTAATTCCCAAACCACAGGCTTTGAGTCTCTGCGTGCACAGTCTGCTGTGACTTACAGCATTTTTCTTACATTGCATGTTCCTTGTCACTGTTCAAATGAAACATCACTGCAAGGTTAGCCTCCCTGTCCCTGTCCCTGTCCCTGGCAGACCTCCTGAATGACACTAAGAAGCATAATGACATTCTTCCAGACCTGGCTAAATCATTTTAATCACATAAACCATAAGCACCCCTGCTGCTAATCCAAGCTCAGGGCTTCCCAGTTTCTGAAGTCAGCCTAGTAGGGAATTCAATTAATGATCCACCCTGGCGGAATACTTACTCATTTGTTACAACTGGGAAAAGAGATTCGCAGCAGACGCAGCAGAGAGAAACGGGAATTGCCGGTTACCATGCAACCCCTTTGTGTCTCATAACCAGTAGCACTGCCTCTTAGAGGAAGGATGGCGGTTTTGTTTTGGTTCATTTGTCAAATCAAAATTTCCATTTTCTTGTCTAGTCACTGGTTACCATCTGTTTAGCAAAAGGACTATGAAAACTCTACTTCTATGTTTAGCTTCTTGGAATGTTTGTGTGTCTACTTAAAGAGTTTTCCTTCTTACGATTTTTAGAGAAGTAAACCCATATTCAACGTGCATGACAGCAGCACTTTCTTTCTAGATAGAAAAAAAAAGTAATTCAGGCCAGTCACCGTGGCTCATGCCTGTAATCCCAGCACTTTGAGAGGCCAAGGCAGGCAGATCATCTGAGATCAGGAGTTTGAGAACAGCCTGGCCAACATGACAAAACCCCATCTCTACTGAAAATACAAGAATTAGCTGGGTGTGGTGGTGCACACCTGTAATCCCAGCTACTCAGGAGGCTGAGGCAGGAGAATTGCTTGAACCTGGGAGTAGGAAGTTGCAGTGAGCCAAGATCATGCCACTGTACTCCAGCCTGAGCAATAGAGCAAGACTCCATCTCACCAAAAAAAAAAGAAAAAAAAAGAAAAAGAAAAGAAAAAAAGAAATAATTCAAAACTTAAAATTGTTCTTTTCATTTCACTTGAATATAGTTTAGACATAGTGTTCAAATAGATTTTCTTTTATTTAGTGTTCTGAAGTCCTTTCTCTCAATACTTCCTTAAACTGCCAGTTTTACAAGTTATGTTTATTTCAGAAAAATTAAAAATGCTATTTTTTCCTCTTTTTTCTAAATGAATATATAAATGTCTTGGAAGAGTTGTGTAACCATATTGCAGAAAACATGGAAAATAGAAAATATTATTCACAGCCCCAGTGTCAGAAAACAAATGTTTAGTATTTGTTAGAACTACTTTGCCCCCGTCTGTTGTTTGCCTTTTGAATTTTGCAGTTTTTATAGTCACAATTTTTTTTACTTTTATTTATTTAGATATCATTTTTAAGCTCAGAAAGCATTTGAGAAAAATGTGAGGCATAATAAAATCATAAAGAGTTTACTTAAGAAGCAATTCCTGAATTAGAGAACACCAGACTAAAAAAGATTTAGTGTTCCAGTGGCAAATTGCCTGGGGCAAGTATTTATGGGGTAAATATGGAAGCAAAATAAAGAAATTATTTGATGGGTTTGCAATTACAAAATTGCCTTTTTTTAAGTATCTTGATGGAAAATCACAAAATCATATGTTAGTTGGATGTTTATCATACATTAGTTGGCTGCGGTTATGTTTTAGTTCTAATCAAGCATTTATCAGAAATGACGCAAGTTTTGTTTTACTTACACTTGCAATTTAAGCAAAATTGAAGATATTTGTAAGACCTACCTGATTTTGTTTGTTCAGAAATTTTTCAGGCCTGAGTCTTCATTTTAATTTTTTTCTTTTAACATTTCTCCTCACCTCGGTCTTTCCTTCAGCAAGCCGAGAGTGTGACCAAATGGCACAGCTTTCCTCTCGCTTAGCACTATTGATGCACTTGTTGGGACGAAGAGTCAGGAAGATGTTACCGTTATCAAAAGATATGCTGGGGTTCAAAGTCATCTCACTGCCAGGAATTACACGATTGGTGTTGGTTTCCTCAAGTTGTCTGAGCCGGATGGCAATCATTTGATGTTCAAATGGCTGCTGGGGAGCATTTAAAACCCTTGGGAGCATATGATACACCAGGGGTAAACCCAATAGCCATACAGAGAATAATTGCGGAGGACTGAAAAACTTCCTCTGAGCAGATTTCCTGGAGTCAAGATTTAACCAGTTGAATAAATCAGCAGAAGAGGCAATGCTTTTCTGATTAAGAAAAAAAATTCGGCCAGGCACAGTGGCCCACGCCTGTAATCCTAGCACTTTGGGAGGCCAAGGCGGGTGGATCACGAGGTCAGTAGTTCGACACCAGCCTGGCCAACATAGTGAAACCCCGTCTCTACTAAAAATACAAAAATTAGCTGGGTGCAGTGGTGGGCGCCTGTAATCCCAGCTACTCGGGAGGCTGAGGCAGGTGAATCCCTTGAACCAGGAAGGCGGAGTTTGTAATGAGTGGAGATCGCACCACTGCACTCCAGCCTGAGCGACAGAGCAAGACTCCATCTAATAAAAGAAAAAAGTTCATATTTTTTCATTAAGATCTTTTAGATATAGGTCAACAATTTCTAATTTATTAACATAGCAACAACTTTTTTCATCATAGCACAAACTTGTTGCTTATTAAGTTGTTAAGGTATCAAGAATTTCTGTTTTGGAGTACTGTTGAGGCTAAATTGTTCATTTCAGATGGCATTGCTTGATCGGAATTCAAAGTATTGTTCTACGAAAACAAAAGAAAAACAAAGGTTAACATTTGAAGCAAATTACGGTCTTTCTTATCTGCCAAAAGGCAGCTAGTCAAGATTTTAGATTTGAGATTGAAGCATCTTTAGATAGTGGAATAAAGACGGCAGTTGAATGTTTCCCATGTTGATGAAAAGAGTGAAACTCTGTAAAATAATTGAAATTCTGAGCCAAATATGAGTGACTAACGGCCCGTGACACAGCCCTCAGAAAATGCTGAGAACATGTGCCCAAGGTGGTCAGGGTAGAGCTTGGTTTTATACATTTTAGGGAGACGTGAGACGTCAATCAAATACTTGTAAGATTTACATTGCTTCCATCTGGAAAGGCAGTTAGATTGGCAATTGGTTGAAAGAGTTATTATCAAAGACCTGGAATCAATAGAAAGGAATATCTGGGTTATGATGATAAGGGGCTGTGGAGACCAAAGTTTCATCATGCAGATGAAGCCTCCAGATAGCAGGCTTAAGAGAGAATAGATTGTGAATGTTCCTTATCAGACTTAGGATCTGTGTTGATGTTAATACTGATCAGCTTTTCCCGAATTCCAGAAGGGAGGAGAGTATAATGAGGCAGGTTCAACACCCCTTTTGTGTCATGGCCTGAACCAACTTTGGAATGCCCTTGGCCATGGCGAGAGGTCCACTCAGATGATTGGGGGGCCTTACAATTTTATTTTGGCTTCCAATAGATTTAGTTAAATTCACAGAGAGATAAAACCTCAAAGAAAATGAGCAGGACTATACTTTGATAACAGGTGCACTATAGTTTTCTACTGAAATACAATCTTTTTTAGAGTTACTCCCATTTTTACCAAAAGTAATCAGTTAATTCTCTGTGATGCTGGTGCCCCTCCACCCACACGTTCCCAATGGCCTTCATAAACAGTGTGTCCTCAGGTCTTCCCATGGAACAGGGAACATCACACTCCAGTGAAGTCTTCTGGCCCCTGCCAACCCAAGGGGAACTCTGAAGAGAAGACTGCCCATTAGAATCGTCTTAGACTGGGCAGAAATTGATCAGTCATGGTATCCCCAGCATACTCAATCATTGGCTGTGGGCCATCCAGGAAGAATATGGCTTCTCCAACACTGAGGCGGGTCTTGAAGATGCTGACAGCTGGAGTCCATCTGCTAACTGCACTTCAATGGCAAGATTTTTCTTGAAGGAAGACTAAAGCAACACACCTCCAGAGTTGCTACATCTCTGGTGTGATTAGAGGTGTTCTCATAATTATCTATATTCTTGTTGTAGTTTTTATGTCCTCTCAAAGGATGTGTATTACTTGTATATTCAGAAAACCTAAACATGTATTTTATAAAAATTAACTGATCAGTTTGGCATGTTTCCTACCATACTTTGCAGTCATTGGTGATCTTAGAGAAGATAGAGTTGCAAGAATTGAGGGAAGATTAAAGGAAATAAGGGAGTTGCTAGGTATCAATTCCCTGATTGGCAACATAACTATGCATTACTTCCTCAAAGAGTTTTTATGCTGACCACATGAGACATCTGTGTTATCTTCCAGGGCCATGACTGACACGTGGTAGGTTTGCAGTGTGGGGTCACAGCACTCAGGCACCAAAACAGGAGGGGGCTTGGGCACTGGGGAGGTGTATTAGGTCTTTCTCCCATTGCTATAAAGAAACACTTGAGACTGGGTAATTTATGAAGAAAAGAGGTTTAATTGGCTCACAGTTCTGCAGGCTGTCAAGAAGCATAATGCTGGCACCTGCTTGGCTTCTGGGGAGGCCTCAGGAAACTTACAATCATGGCAGAAGGTGAAGGAGGAGCTGGCATATCACATAGCTGGAGTAGGAGCAAGAGAGAGGAGGAAGATGCCACACGTTTTAAAACAATCAGATCTTGTGAGAACTCACTATCATGAGGACAGTACCAAGAGAAACCATTCATGAGAAATCCACCCCCAAAATCCAATCACTTCCCACTAGGCCCCACCTCTACCACTGGGGATTACAATTCAACATGAGATTCGGACAGGACATGTATCCCAACCATATCAGGAGGAGTCATTTACCACAATAGGAGGAGGAGCTGAAAGGGCAGTTCGTGAGAAATTGAGATCAGATGAGGGCTGATCTCTGCAGAAGACTCTGGGAAGATGGAAAGAAGCTACTGAAAATAATTCTCATGACCCTGGAACAAAATTTCCTCACTTTGCTTCATCTCTCGGGAGGGCTCGCCTGCGTGGTATCCTGCTGGTGAAGCCTCTTCTGTGCTAATTACTGCGCTTCCTGCTCTCCCTGGGCATTACTCATTTCTACCTTCATTCTATGACCAGGGAAACCAAGGGAGAAGTGCCAAGTTATGTACCTAAGAACACACGTTGAAGAAGCTCCTGTGTTTCTTCTATGGCAACGTGGACAATGCTAGTTTTTCTTGGGTACATAAATGGAAAATGAAAGCTGTGGGTTTTGCTTTTGCTTTTGTTTTTCTTTTGCAAGTAGGAATCTGAATGCCAAATTCAGCATCTCAGATTATTTTCCTCCTGTTAGATATATTTTTAAATTTATTTTTAGGTATCTTGTTTTACACGATGAGTTTTAACACTTAAGATGCCTTAAAGCTAGTGGAAGTAGAAGTGTAATTCTCAAACTAAAAAAACAAAAATCTGTCTTATGGAACAAATATGAAGATTAATGAGTTAATATTTATACAAAATTTTGAGAACATTGGCAAGTAGTATTTTAAAATACAAAGTCATGACCAGGAGTATCCTAATATCCTCTTCCATTCTAGAAGCTGGGGAGTTCCTGTTTACTTATTAATTCCCAGTTAAGAAAAGCATGGTTTACATCTGTCACACTTCTCTAAGTTCCAAAATTAAGCTTCCTTGGGGTCCTTCCAGTGAGTTATTCAAAAGACACAATAATGGGGGAAACAGCAATCCAGGTCTTAGTATATTTTGTTCCTCATCCAGGCCTTGCTGTCACCCGCCCACAGAACCTTCACCCACACTCCTCTCCTCAGGTCTCTCTCTCTTCATCCCCAGTGACTGGGTTGGAGAGTGGATTTGAACTAGCTGAAGGTGACAAGTCCTGGGACTACCTGATGAAAGCCACAGACCTTCTTCCCCAGTAATGTGACACACAACATTGTCACAGGTAGCAATTATGTTAGGTCAGTATTGTGTAGGCAGTAAAAATTTACCAAGACATTTGTAGGTAAAGAAAGGCAGATTTGAGGTGGGCAGATCAGTTGAAGCCAAAAGTTCAAGACCAAGCTGGTCAACATGGCGAAACCCTGTCTCTACTAAAAAATACATAAATTAGTCAGGCCTGGTGGTGCACGCCTGTAGTCCCAACTACTTGGGAGGCTGAGGCACAAGAACTGCTTGAACCCAGGAGGTGGAGATTGCAGTGAGCTGAGATCACACCACTGCACTCCAGCCTGGGTGACACAGCAAGACTCTTTAAAAAACAAACAAAAAAAAAACGCAGATTTACTAGGAAAAGTAATGCAAAAAAAAAGTACTGCAATGGTACAAGGGGCAAATTAGCAAGAGGGGAGCAGACTGCAAAGAGACAAAGCCTTGCTGGAGATTTTGTAGGCTGGTGCTTGTGCTGTGTGCTGGGGAGGGCTTTGTCCAGTGCTGGTAACATCAGGGTTGCAGTGAGCTAACTTGCACTTTTTTTTTTTTAAATAGAGTCGCACTCTGTCATCCAGGCTGGAGTGCAGTGGTGCGATCTCCACTCACTGCAACCTCCACCTCCCAGGTTCAAGTGATTCTCCTGCCTCAGCCTCCCAAGTAGCTGGGATTACAGGCATGTACCAACACGCCCAGCTAATTTTTTGTATTTTTAGTAGAGATGGGGTTTTGCCATATTGGTCAGACTGGTCTTGATCTCCTAGCCTTATAACTTGCATTTTTCTATCACCCAAGGGTCTGGTGATAAGTTAGGAGCAGAAAACAACTGAGTTATTTGTGCCATAGGGCCACGTGTCCTGGACCATGAAGAAGGGCAGATTTACAGCCTACCTGCTTTCTCTTTTTGCTTTCCCTTGGTCCCGGCAGTCTGACTCCTTTTGCCTAATTAGAGCTCCACAGACATTTCATGTCCAATGTCAGGAACTTGTGGAACAAGGAAAGCCCACTCTAGAATCCTTGCTAAAGGACCCCAGGTAACCTCTTAGGTCTCTGCCAACTCTTAAATGTAGTCATCCCAAGATGAAGGTGCCTCTTTGGAGGAGGAAATCAAATGTGGATGCATCAAGCTACCAGCTGCCCCTAAAGAGCAGCCTGCCGTTCGGGCGCAGTGACTCACGCCTGTAATCCCAGCACTTTGGAAGGCCGAGGCAGGCGGATCACAAGGTCAGGAGATCGAGACCATCCTGGCTAACACGGTGAAACCCCGTCTCTACTAAAAATACAAAAAATTAGCCGGGCATGGTGGCGGGCGCCTGTAGTCCCAGCTACTGGGGAGGCTGAGGCAGGAGAATGGTGTGAACCCGGGAGGCGGAGCTTGCAGTGAGCCAAGATCCCGCCACTGTACTCCAGGCTGGGCAACAGGGGGAGACTCCATCTCCAAAAAAGAACAAAAAAAAAGAGCAGCCTACCCTTCTCACACCTCTCCTGGGTGTCGTTCAAGTGAGATTTGTGGGGAAGAGGGCACAATGCCGGGAAAGGCTGTGGGGCTCGGCCTGCTGCCAGGCATGCTTCGCGTTCCTCTCTGAGACCACAAGTATTCCCATGTTTTGAAATTGTAATTCCTTTTTCCTGGTGTGAGCTTGACTTTTTCCCCTCTACATTATGCCCACCTAGCACTCTATTCACTTTGATTTCGTAGCTAAGGCTTTCTGGTAGTCACTACCCCTGGTTCTATTCTTGAGTCCTTAACTAACTCCACGAATCCAAAGGACACTCATCAGAGGTAGGTCTTAGCTGATCATTCTACACCATTCGTCCTGTAAAGCAATGTAATTCCTTTAATGCAGCTCACACAGGGACTCCTTGACTCACAGAGGGACCGTAGCTGATCAGACACTCTGGTGCCAAAGCAGAAACACTAGTGTCTCAAGGCTGTGTCCCAGGTTGAAGTCCCCCGAGATGTGTTCTCCTGACCTCCTTTTTAGGCAAGACGGCTGACCCACTCCTGGCCTTTGGCGCCTCCAGTTTTCTTGTCCCGCCCTCGGTGGTTCAGAGACCTCACAGATCCACCCCACGGTGCCTCTGCTTTCAGGAGCCCTGATGGGCAGTGCTCCTCTCGATGGGGCTGGGGTCATGCCCTGGGCAGACCTGACTCTGAATCCGTTGAAGTTGCAACAGTGCAAATTCTTTGGGTTACAAATAACAAAAACCCAACTCAAGTATAAGCAAAAAGGGGGACGTATTTAAAGAATCATGAAGTGTCTCAATAACTCAACAGTAAGAATCCATCTAGGCTTCAGGCATCAGTGAATCTCAAGAAAGCTGGAGGCAGGGTGCTCTCAGGAGCCTCTCTCCCCTCCCACCACCCCACCCAGCTCCCTTCCCTTCTTTAGCCCACGTGGCGGAAACCGCAGTTTTGTGTTAAAACTTCAGACACCTAAAGGAGGCTGACTTTCTCAATTCCAAGTTCCAAAGCCCCACAAAGCACTCTTGCCCACCTTGGGTCCAGTGATCCAGGTGACTGATGATCCAGCCCACAGCATCGGCAGTGGGGTCATAGGGTCCTCTCACGGCAGCTGTCCTGGGGAGCCAGAAAGGACACAGAGGACAGTGAGTGAAGTTCCCAAACACGGGTAGAAAGGTGCTGGGTGTGAAGACCTCCTCCTCCTTCTTCTTCCTCCTTCCTCCTCATCCTCCCTCCTTCTCTTCCCTCCTCCTCTTCTGTCCTCCTCCCTCCTTCTCCCTCCTCTCTCCTCCTCCTTCCCCCTTCTCCCCCTCTCTCCTTCTCCCTCCTCTTTATCCCTCCTCCCCCTTCTCCCTCCTCTTTATCCCTCCTCCCACCTCCTCTCCTCCCTCCTCACACTCCTCCCTCCTCCTCTTTTCTCTTCATCCTCCTCCTTCTTCCTCCTCCTCCCTCCCTCTCCTCCCTCCTCCTCTTCTTCCTCCTCCCTCCTTCTCCCTCCTCTCTCTTCTCCTCCCTCTTTCTCCCCCCTCCTCCCTCCTCCTCCCTCCTCATCCTCCTGCCTCCTTCCCCTCCTCCTCCCTCTTCATACTGTTCCCTCCTACTACTTCCTCCTCCTCCCTCCTTCCCCTTCCTCTCTCCTCCTCCTCTCTCCTCCTCCTTTTCCCTCCTCCTTCCTTCCCCCTCTACCTCACCCCTCTTCCCTCCTCATCCCTCTGCCCCCTTCTCCTCCCTCCTCCCCCTCCCCTTCCTTCTTCTTCCTCCTCCCCTTCTTCTCCTCCTACCTCCTCTTCTTTCCCTGCCCTCCTCCCTCCTCCTCCCTCTTCCTCCTTCCTCCCTTTCCTCCCTCCTCTTCCTCCCTCCTCCTCCACCAAGGCCCATTCCTATTCCCCCAGCTCCCAGCTCTCCCCTGGAAGCAGAATTTTAGCAAAGATCATCAAAATGAAGGAATTCACAAAGTCAGTGAAGGAAACAATATGAAAGGACACCCTGAGATGCTGAGGCCCATGGAGGCTTCCTTGTACCTTTCCACACTGAGCAGGCCACACAGTTCTTATTGTCCTAGTTACCACCCCAGTGCACACCGGCCAAAGTCCCTCCTAGCACCTTTCCATGCTGAGCAGACCACACAGTTCTTATTGTCCCAGTTACCACCCCAGTGCACACCGGCCAAAGTCCATCCTGTACCTCTGACCATCTCCATGAGCAGCCAAAGGGCCCTCCCCTAAAAATGGAAAAATGTGTTTTCTGCCACTCTGGCTTCTGCTCTAGAAAATGAAGTTCTTGGTTGGGTGCAGTGGCTCACGCTTGTAATCCCAGTACTTTGGGAGGCCGAGGCAGGTGGATCACAAAGTCAGGAGATCGAGACCATCCTGGCTAACACGGTGAAACCCCGTCTCTACTAAAAATACAAAAAATTAGCCAGGCGTGGTGGCGGGGACCTGTAGTCCCAGCTACTCAGGAGGCTGTGGCAGGAGAAGTGAGCTGAGATCGTGCCACTGCATTCCAGCCTGGGCAACAGAGCGAGATTCCATCAAAAAAAAAGAAAAAGAAAGAAAGAAGGAGGAGGAGGAGGAGGAGGAGAAAAAAGAAGTTCTTTCGACCTTAAGGCAGTTTACATTTTCTCTGAGCAAAACGATTTCTGTATCCAGCCTGTCTTCAGTCTTGCTGGAAAAGACCTTTTAGGGTGGTGGTGGTTCTTCACATGGTCGCTGCCCGGGGGAACCATGGCACTGCTGCTGTTACATCTAGAAATGTGTGTGCATTTCTCTAGGAAGTTCTTAGCTTTTGTCAGAGTCTCAAAATGATCCTTGTGAGGTGCCATAGACATGGATTGGACAGGACAGCCACTGCCCAGCCCCAGCCAAACTTCAGTTCTAATGTGAGATAAAAACTAAGCAGGTGAACAGGCTCACACCATGGGTCAGACAAAGGATGCAGAGTTTTGAAGAAAATGAGGCCTAAGATGGGGGATTATAGGCAGCACCCATTTCTCTGGAAGCCTCTGTAAAGGAACAACGTTTAAATTGAATGTGAAGGAGAGAGACAGCCACAGGAGGAACATTCCAGAGGAAACGTCATGAAAACAGTCTCGAAGATGGGAAGAAATAGCATGTTTAAGGGCCAGAAAAGGCACGAGACCACAAGAGACTATGGGGCCAGGCTATGAGCTGAAGGTGGCAGATGGGAGGGGACATCAGGCAGGACTGCATCTAGGTGCAGTGGGAATGCTCTGAGGGCAGCACGTGGGCAGATTTAGGTGCTCGGCTGCCTCGGGGGCTGGGTGAGAACTGACGGGAACAGGCAAAAGCAGCCACAGGGAGACCAGTTACAGGCTTGAGAGTGGCCCCGGACCACATCTGGGGGAAGGCGGGTCTAGACCTGGGGGAAGGAGAGGCGGAAAACCTGACTGCCCACCCTCCCTGGCTGCTCTGACGTCTCAACACTCCCTCTTCAAAAGCTGTCTCTCGATGCCACCTTCTCCCCAGATCACAGCTGCCAGCCTGCTCCAGACACCTGAAAATAAAAGGGAACATTTTGGGGAGCAGAATCCAGTTTCAAAGAAATCAGTTCCACAAGACCAGGCTTCCCCGCACCCACTGCTACCCACATTCCACCACGCGCCACTGCCAAGTCCTTGTCCCCAAAGAGCACCCCCTTCTAGCATTTTCCTTTCCCAAACC